GGGGGGAGTGGCTCTCGAGAGAACACCTTGGGAAGGGCGCGCGGCGTCAGCCAACGGCGCACGTGCGTTTTGTGGCAAATGTAAATGCGCGCGGAGCAAGAAAGTGTGGAGAACGCGAGGTTATGTACAGAAATGGGGGTGCCCTCTTTCGTTTTGGTTTTCCACACGCGGCGCCCCAAACTGACAGTTGAGTACGTTAGCGGTTAGAGCTTTAGAGAGAGTTAGCGACGCAAGAGCGATGTGTCGGATGCCGCCGTGGAAGCACAGCCTGGCCCACAGCCGCGTCGAGTTCGTCACTCGGGGCAGAAGACGAGAGCACCTCGTTGAGCAGCTTCGCGTCGGCGAGCGAGAGGCCTCCCTCCTAATCAAAGAGCCACTCCGCGAACTCATGAGTGGAGTGTAACTAAAAGGGCGGGCCACAAGCCTCCCGCCCCTCCTCGAGCGGCTTCGGCGGGAAATCCCCCTTGAGCGAGAAAGCGACGCCTGCGGCGAGGAGCGTGAAGAGGAGGTATGTGGAGAAGCTGACGGCCGAGGGACGGCCGAGGGACAGCCGAGGGACAGCCGAGAGACATCCGGGAGACAGCCGAGGGACAGCCGAGGGACAGCCGAGAGACATCCGGGAGACAGCCGAGGGACAGCCGAGGGGTCCGGGCCTGGGCCGTCCTGGCCTGCGCGACTCCGAATTCTCTGGCCGGCGGCCTCTCGACCAGCTCCACCGAGAGGGAGGTGCTCTTGATCACCGGCGGGTTGCCCTCGGCGGGGCCCTTGACTTGCACGTCAACTTTGATGGTGGGGTTGAGAGCCAGGAAGGCCAGCCCCTCATGCAGCAGCACGCGCACGAACCATGGTCCAGTCTGGCCCGCGGAGTGGACGTCCGGATCGGTCTGGGCATGAAACTCAGCTGGTATCTTGGCCAGGCTCTCGAGGACTCCGGTGACAACGTAAGGGACGGGGACGGAGGAGGCCCCACCCGCGAGGATGGCGAGCCGCAGGTGGGTGTGCCTTGGCTGCTTGGGCTGGTGCTCCTCGAGGGCGCTAAGCGCCCTCTCCATCAGCTCTGGGTCCATCTCGTCAGAGTCGTCGGGATTGTCAAGCTCCTCGACAGGTTTGGCGGCGTTTCGGCTTTGCAGCCTGTTTATGCAGCGCTTTATTGACGCATTGCGTGTGAGGGTGGTCGCTTAAAGCGAAACGAGGGTGTTTCAGTTTAGCGGGTAACAGCGTAAACAACCCGGCGCCGGGAGCGCCCGCGTCGGCGCGAGCGACTCCTGCCGGGCCATCGCCTCGTCCCACCTGGCAAAGAGGAGGCCCGAATGCGAATCGCCCGTCCACCCCCGCCGCTGGCGTA